CATAGAAGTATGTCAAGGAAGTATCAGGTAATTAAGGGGGAAAAGGGAAATGCTTCTTCCCCGCCTACACGGGTTTTGTTTCGAAATCGCCAACACAAGAAATATGCATTCTATATAGTCACATTATTTAGTTTTCATCATTAGAGGATACGAAAATGGGTGTAGAGGACTGATAATGAGTCTGATCTGAGGATTGGTGAAACTTACTTTCTTCATCGGTTGAGCCCGTCCTGCAATAATGTCTGCAATGTATATACCAAAGTAACTTTAAAAAAGAATTCAGACAGAAAAATATGGCGATTTTACCAACAAAAAAAGAATGAAGGAAAAATATGGCTATTATAACATTAGAACAGAGAGGAAGAGAGCAGGAAGATTATAAACATGGTGCCAAGTTGTTCAGGATCAATTTGAAATCATGTGACCCATTAGAAAATAAAGAAGCAACTTGCAAATAGAAAACACAGTTTTGAAGTTCAGTTATAGTTCTCAATACCCCTGCGTGCAAGGATTTTTTTGGATGGAGGACGGACAGTAAGATCCGGCGGAACAAAAAACATCCCAACTGGTTGAAATGTCTGCCCAAACATCTGCTCCCCCACAACTGTGGTTTTTCTTTCAGCAGGTAGCTGATAATGATAACTGCACATTGATTCTGCTGATAAATATTAATGTATGCTATGAAAAAGAAATGTGGAAAACTAAAAGTGCAAAATGTGTGGACTTACGGTTCACATATTCCAGTAGCTTGATTGAGCTGCCCACGTGGACAGTAAGCACCTAAAGGGCAAGCTTCAATAGGAACAAAATATCAACAAATAAGTCAATTAGAAACTTTTTTCTGTGGCAAGAACAGAACAATAGAAACATCTTGCCTAAGTGATTTAGCCAATAGCGCAGAGTGCAGGATAAAACATCACCATAAGAGCAAATAAGAAATGAAAATAGCTCACTCTCTCTTTACTCATTCAAGGGCCTTTGCATGAATACTTACGTATCATGCAAGTAATGCCGCGAGGGCAAAAGAAACCCGGACAACAAGGCTGACAATCAGTGGACCTGACAGGGATGTCCTTAGTATTATTAAGTTGAACTTTCTCAGCAGCACTACAGCCCCATCCAGGTTCGCACCCATTAAGCCAAACGCTCAAGTTACAGTTCTTGTTGGGCTGCAAGTTGTTAGACTGGCCCTTCGACTTTATGTCAAAACCACTGGCATATAGTTTGATTTCTGCTGCTGTGCATATGCGCTGTGAAATATCTCCTGTAAAGTCGTCAAATTCAGCACCAAATGCTCAGAAAGTGATGCTGCTGAAATTGAAACAATGCTAATTTGAAGAATAGAACAATCTTCAGGCAAGGCAAATGCCATGCCAAAAGCCTAACTTTTGGTGAATTTGATTTATATATGAATAACAGAATGGGGAAAAAAATACGATGCAGTGATTGGTGATAAATGTAATGGTGACTGAGGCATATCCCTCCAAGTATATCTTTGAGGGAACTGAAAAAGCTGCCTCAATCGGCAATTTAACAGGGGAAATGTGACAAGAGATTGACGAAAGGAATTCTATACCTTTTAGAGACTGGGAACATGAGGTCAAAAATGTCAGATCGTTTGTGAAATTAAATGCCCCGTCCCAATCAGCATCTCTAGAGGAAAAACATGGGAGCCCATCAGAGCAATGAAAGCGACGGAAGTATAGGAAAAAGATGGGGGGAAAATTGCTCACACATCAACTATGCAAAAACCCAAATTCTTTTTTATTTCGTCCTTGAAAACGCCCGTGAAACTAGACATGCTTCCGTAAACGGCCTGGGCTACGAGCTGAACTGCAGCTTGGCTTTTATTGTGTTCTGACATGAAACTTGTTCCGAATAGCAGCTTAATGCAACAATGAAAGCCAAAGCAACCCTCCTGATTACGTTGTTCATTTTTTTTTTATTTTTTTTTTATTTGGGATTAGCTTAGGTTTCAGCTCCACAAACATAAATTTCTTCTAAGTATGAATATCAGCAGCTAAGGCGCAATTTCAACGTAGGGTAAATTCATGGTGAATGTGAAGCAGAGATTCAAAACTACAGGGCCCGGTAAAGGGAAAAAAGAGGTGCAATTCTATGATTTTGTTTTGGAACCAGAGACGTTGAGAGAGATAGAGAGAGAAAGAGAATTGAGCGTGAAGAGATGGTTCGTTTTTTCGGAGCAAGAAATGGCGGGGAGGAAGATCTGGCGAAGTGTGAGGAAACAGGACGACAACGCAGAATTTGCTTGTTTGCTTATTTATACTTTCGTTGACTAAAGTAAACTTCTATATTTATATGTGTGATTTAATGTTAATCTTATATTACCATGTCCACATCAATCAACACATTAGATTTCTAATCAAGAAAAATATCTATAGATTTTAACGTAAAAAATAAATATAAATATTAGTTTCATTTAATATTAATAAATATAAAAACATTTATTATCATATAACTCAACTTGTAAATATGAAAACTTGATTTATAAAGTATTTAATTTACATATAGTTTTACACAATATAAACCATATTCTTTTTTACAATTCAAAGTATTCTCAAATCATTTTAGATTTGATATTGATTTTTATTAGGTCGGAAGTATTAAAGTTAACAAGTGTACTTTCAAAATATAAACTTATATTCTTTTCTTACGAGACATCTTACTTTCTCTAACAACTTGTTAATAACACAAACTATATTAGTTATGTTAAAAAGTTTGATACGTACCTTCCTGAATTAGTCTCTGGCCTAAAAAAAAATGTCTATAATCTTTTTTTTTTTTTGAAAAAATGCTTTCCAATGATATTAGAGAGTTAACTTGATTTGTGCGTTTTTGCCGAATCACTTCTTATACAAATAACCAAACCAGATGCTAAATGGGGGAAACGTGCTTAATTTTCAACCCAAAAACCACATATGACCAGACAGAAAAATCAAGGGGCATTGGGACCACTTGACATTTTCAGTTTTGGCGCCACTTCAGATGACCGCGTTTCCCAGATGCAGCAAAATGACACGGCATTTTCTGAAGATTCGCTCGAAATTCAGACAAACAAATACCAAAAATAAAATAAAATAATAAATCACGCCCCCCCCTCTCTCTCTCTCTCTGCGTCTCTCTCTCTCTCACAGCATCAGTCACAGTCTCCTCCACTTCAAAGATTCGCGTCTGAAACACTGAACAAAACCTCGTGATGTCTGTCACTTTGCCGTTTCAGCCTTTTTCTGAACCTGAAGGCTGAAGCCCCCTTTTTACAAAGATTCTCTCGTTTCCCCCCCCATTTTCCTCGTCCTCTCATTGGCGTCGTTTCCCGTTTCAATAATTTGCACTATACACTACTCTATTAAATAAATGTCATACTTTTTTATTTGAATTTGTTTGGTTCAGTTATTGATCAATTATTCGGATTCGGACCTCCTTGGTTGTTTTGTTTGGATCATCTTCATCTTCGAATAGATTTACCCTGACATGAATCGTTGTCGGTTTGATCTAAAGGTGAATATCACAATGCGTCGTGCTGGTCACTTCTTTATTCTTCATTCATCTTGATTTCGATTGACTGGATCATCTTCATTTCTTATTATTCATTCATGTCGTTTCCTACTTGAAGTTCGATCAGATTGAATGCTGATGTCTCATGCGTTTTGTGGATGTTGAGAAAGTAAACTCGAGAGGTTATGAATCGGACATTGCAAGAATATGCCTTTAAATCTTTTAATTATTCCTTCTGTTTCTCGCATGCTTCTCTTTTGCTCTATTTGTGGAACTAATTTAATGAATGCTGTGTATGCTTCAAAATTCTTTGACTTTCCGCTTCCATTTCTTATGTAGTTTTGTTTTCTTCCTCACTTTTCCCCCCATCTCTTTGTACATTGGAAGTAACTCAGCGAATTTTCGTGGAACTTATTTTAGACCGTATTGCGTTAGTATGCCCTGAAATCCGTCGCATTTAGTGGATTTATCTTGTAATCAGTCTCGTGGCTTCATGAATTACTTAGCTTATTTTGCCTCCACTGAATAGCTGCTTGAGTGTTCAGTACAATAGACGCGATCACCAGTATATTGTGATAGTTGGGGAAACTTTCTTTTGGATTGTTTTGAACTTCACAATCTACAAGTTGCTTTGCGTGCCTAAAATATTTTAATACTGGTGTATTAAGCATACACATATTTTCATGCATGCCGGTATATACGAGCTCCCAAGGGGCAAAGCCAGCTTTCAGATGTTAGTCGGTGACTCTGCATTAAGAATTCAATCTATAAGCTGATAAATTCTTGACGTGGTCAATACCAAAAATTCTCTAGCTGGTTGTCTCATAGGTCATTGCACTTAACCAGCTGCCAATCTATTTCTATATTTATAATTTTAAACTGACTCCGATATAATTAGATTGGACTGCTGTAAATTCTATGGGATGCTACATGTGTGACTTGAAAACTGCGCACTTAGAATGCATAAGATCAAAGTTGGATTCTAATAGCAACTTGGTGTGAGACTCGAGCTAAAAAACAAAATCAAAGCCAGATGTCTTTATAATTTTCACCGTGGTGTCGCAGTGATCAATGATGCAATCATAAATCCTGATTTCCAGTTTGAAAACCCAATTAATACATTGAAACTAGTAGTAGCTAATAAAGAAGCAAAAGTCGTTTTTTTCTCAACTTGAAAATTATCTTTTGCTGTGTGTTATATAAAAATAGTATGAGTATAAACTTCTGTTGGAATTTAGAATTTAAATTAAGGTTTGAGTATTTCTGATTTGGAAACAAGACATTCATCAGAGAAGCTGGTACAAGTTGATTTCATTTATTCTTTTTCAAAACACTACAAATGAATAGTGACATTTGCATTAAGCTCTATTATTCTTGGCATATGGGTAAGTTGTTTTTCATGCTCTTTATAGTAAATCCTCTGGTAATTGGTACGTGAAATAATTTATGCTTGATTGTTGTTTTGCAGGATTGACAGCTGTATAAAAATGGCTGCATAAAGCTAATTTCTCTCCTGAGATAAAATTATTATAACATCCATCATCCATAATTGTTTTGAAATTGACCATGGCTAGTTGGAGAAGATGAGCTGTTGAGATGATTTCCTATGAGCAAGATCCAGATGTTGTACGATGGGGCCTGCAGCTATTTGATGCTAGTCCATATAGTAATTGCAGATATTGTGGTGATGTTACTCAAGATAATGCAGATTGTTATCACGGGCATTATTTTAGGGAAGAGGAATATAATAATGATTTTACCAACACAGAAAATGATGAAGTAATGGCGCATGCTCTTCAGCAACAATTCTCACAACTTGCAGTGACTGAAGCCTCTGAATCTTCATATGATTGGTCAGAAAATATGCCATCATCAAGTTCACTGCAGGAGTGGCCTAGTCATCCAATTGGTAGCTATTTTCCTGGTATGTTTTATACCTAAGAATGTCCATATGATTTCCTCTTAAGCTGCTAGGTCTTCTACGCTACTAATTTGCTCTGTTTATTTTATTTAAAATTTATAGAACAGCAAAATGATCAGGAAGAAGCAGATGATGTGGAACCTTCTAGTTCATATTCTAGCTCTGAGAAGAACTCATATTGTGGAGATCAATGGTTTTATTCATTGGAGCAGATTGATGAATATGCTCTTGATGGAAAAGTGGGAAAAAGACTGAATCAAATGGTTCCAATTCCGGTGAGTTACTCTTCTCAAGTGCAATTGCTATGTTTTTGAAACGTTTTCTATTCTTCGTTTTTGCCTGGTGATAATGAACTTACAAAGGGGGTAAGCCTTGGAGCAATAGTAAGGTTGCTGCCATGTGACTTAGAGGTCATGGGTTCAATCTTGGAAACAGCCTCTCTGCTTCCAAGAGTAAGGCCGCGTAGATTTCTCCCTCCCTAAAACCCAGCTGGTGGGAGCCTTGTGAATAGGGCTGCCTCTTATAATTAACTTATGACAGCTTTATTTCCTCTTACTAATACCTTAATCAATTGGCTTTCCCTGACACTGGATGACAAAAGAAATTTTTTATGTCTTAAATTCTGAAATTACTGATGTTTATGCTCTAAGGTTTATAGCTGCGTTATTTTTTTCCCCCCTCAACCAGCATCATGGTGGTGGTTGTCTAACGGTTTCTAGCTACTGTTATATGTCTAATAATTTCTTAATAATATATCTTCTACGTTATCTCTAACAATCTATTATGTATATTATCCTTGACACAGCATGTCCCTAGAATCAATGGAGAAATACCTTCTATCGACGCAGCAACCTTAGATCATCAAAGGCTATTGCACAGGTAATGCTCATTAGTAACATGTTATTTTTTTTCCTTCTACCTTTTTTAATTATTTCTTTTGCTATGGGGGAATTTTTATTCATAGTTATTTATTGGATGCTTACAATTAACTTATGCTTCACATGCATAAGGCCTTCTATTTAATTTTTGTTCACAGGCTGCAACTATATGAGTTGGTTGAGTCCAAAGTTGAAGGAGATGGAAACTGTCAGGTTTTTTCTTTTCTGTCTAAGTATGCCTGTCAAAAGTCATAAAATTTTCAAAGATTACATGGCCAAGTCATTACATGATAAATGAGCTAACAGTTGTCTTCTATATGCTCTTAGTGTGACCATGGGATTGACCAGGGTACTAAAAGTTGGCCATATCAATATATTAATGCAATTACATATATGACATCCTGTTTAAAGAGCTAATCTTTGTCTTACATTTTGCAAGTAGATTCTTATTAAATTTGTAATGTTTACAGTTTCGTGCACTATCAGATCAAATCTATCGAACGCCTGAGCACCATAAATTTGTGAGAGAACAAGTAGTTAATCAGGTTGTCTGGCTATCTTCTGCCAATTCGTTGATAATAGGGTTGATTAGTTTTAAGCAATACATGGTTGTGTTGAATTTTCTCCTTGTTGGTGATTTATGATTGGTACGTTTTTGCAAATCAGCTGAAGTTGTATCCAGATATATACGAGGGATATGTTCCAATGGCTTATGCAGACTATTTGGAGAAAATGACCAAGTATCCTTCTCTTATTTCCAACTTAGTTCAACTAGTTTATGCTTAAAGTAGTTACTTATTCCAGCTGTATTGTTGATGGGATCAGGAATGGTGAGTGGGGGGACCACGTGACCTTGCAGGCTGCCGCAGATTCCGTATGCTTCAACAACTAAACTATATATCACTTGTGCTTTTAAGTATATCATTTTCGTATATTCTTTTGCATAATCTATTTGTTCTTTCTACTAAATTGGATGACCAAAAAGGAGCCGCATTTGTGCTTAACAAATGTCGTACACTCAATAAACATGACACGAGCTTTTGACACTTAGAAATTACATTTGAACTCTTAAAATTGTCAATGGTATCTAAGTTATTAGGAATTAGTAGTAGATTTCATATCTAAGATCCATGGATTAAGGTTAGGTGGCTGCTTTTATTTAGACCTTTCGTACTCTGTTCTATCTATCAAATAAAGCTAACAAAGGCGCACTTCATTTCTGTATTCTTCACATATATATTGTAGTTTATGGTCATAACTGTTGTGTGGCAGAGTACCATGGCCTATGTACAGTAGATGGAATAAACAAGAGTGGCGGTATCAGCAGTGAATTAGTATTAGAACAGCAGTTATTTTAGCATAATTTCCTTTATCTGTTATCATGTGATTAACAAATGTGTTCTGTGTGACATCAATTATCTGTGGGTTAGTTTCTGGTGTATTATGCGTTGCCAATTTTCTATGGGGAATTCGCTGTCAATTTCATAGGAGTCACTTACTGGTTACTATGATGTCCTTCTGATAAATATTTGTAATTGACTGGTGGCGATATGTATGAAGTATTCTCTAGTCAAATATCTTGGAGATTCTCACTTTGGCTTTATTAGACAATGAACTTTAGATTCTGGTTCATAATCTGAGAGAGAAACCTTTCCCTTCCATTTATTCCCATCTCATTCTCCATTTCTTCCCAAGTTCCCCACAAGTTTCCCAGAAACTGTCGCTGTGCTGGTGCCACTATGTGATATGAGGAAATTGCGGTTTATGGGAGTAAAAGTGGGTAGGAAACACTTGGATTGGGAATAGACACTCTTTTTTTTTTTTGGTTCTACCTGAATTTTTATTTTACAATTAGAGCCCACTGCTTGCCAGTTACATACAGGAGTCTTGTGTGGGTCGATCTCATGTAATGTTTGAACCGAGACCAAAAGGTTTTACCTTGTTTACAAATGTGCTAGGATAATCTTATTCACATGGTAGTTAATGAATTCCCTTAGATGCATATTTTTCTATCTAAATTCTTCTATTATGTATTTCAGTATGGAGTTAAAATATTTGTCATCACATCTTTCAAGGATACCTGCTACATTGAGATTCTTCCAAATTTTGAAAGGTCAAAACGAGGTATTGTCATGCTGCTTTGACAATGTCATGATGTTACAATGCATGCTTCTCTGCTAACATTGTAAATTAGATAGAGACCATTTCCCGAAAACTCAGAATACATCAAAACCTTAAAAATGTAACCATGTTAGAATCAATATCGGGTAATTTATAAAATCTATTTCAAGTGACACTATTCATAATATCGGTATAATTTATCAAATCTATTTCAAGTGACACTATCCATAAGCAATGCACAATGTGACTCATTTCATAGATTCTAGGCTATGTTTAGAAAAATGCATCGTTTTAATCAATACATCAATGTAAAATATATTAAGCTTCCCTATAAACAAGTTAGCAGCAGTGCAATTCTATTCTCAGGCTTCACATTTCTCACAATGCATGGAAAAACGCAGCATAATGTATTGCTATCACATTGTAATACAACGTATTTAGTTACTATACTGAGTTTATGCCTTCAGCTATGAAGGCCAATTATATTTCACTACTGTTTTCCTGTTAGAATGAAGTCAGCTGCCTCGTTCATGCATAGTAACGGAGAGAGATGAAAAAAGAAGCAAACCAAAAAGCCAAAGAGCCCTTCAACCCTTTTTCTTCTGCTTTTTTGTTGGGCAAATTTCCATATTTGTGTTCGTAATTAACCTGCAGATAGAAAAGGAAACTAATTTATTGTTAGTTTTAATTGTTATTATTTTATTTTTATTGTGCAGTAATATGTTTGAGCTTCTGGGCAGAAGTACACTACAACTCGATATATCCTGAAGGAGGTTAAGATGCATGCATATCAGCACTGGCATGCGTGTTTCATTTACATTAAGAATGTTAAAGCTGTTGGTGTGACTTGTTAATATTAAAGCCAAAGATGCTACTTTCACCATTTAGAATATGCATTTTCCCGGTACACCCGGCCATGATAGCTCTCCATGATCACAAGTAGAGTGGGGAAAACAGCTAACGCTGTGATTCTTATTAAATTGTTTAGTAATAAATTTAAGAACAAGTAACCTTAGCCTGATGGCTATCATCCACAGTGGAAGCGATTTCTCTGGTGCAGGAGTATTGACATTTGAGGTTTTCAACCTCAAGTGTGGGACTCCGTAGTTCGGTGGAATACTGGAATGTTACAATGTCAATTGCCAAGGCATATGATTTATGGGATTTTATGGGCTTTTCAACCTCAAGTTGGTTGGTTAGTGTCGGACTTCTCAGACAGTGGAGGGTGGAGATAAAGACAACAATCTTAGTGACGCACGATGCGTTGTTTTGGTATATATTATTGTATCAGTGGGTCACATTGACTAATAACTAGTTTTTCCGTTGAGCTAATTCTCGTTGCAAAGAGGTGTGGTTGGACTGAATTGTGATGATTCAAGAAGTGAAAGCTCAAAATTACATGACGGCGATATTTTGGCAGCTCACAAGTATGGTAAATAAAGCAGAGGGGTAATAGTCATAGACAATTGCTGTGTATGATTAAAAGGTAGATTGGAGGACCTATGCTCATTTCAATCTCCCAAAAATAAGAGCATCCGCATGTTGGAGAACAGGCACAGAACACCAATTCAGATTCCTTTCTGGGTTTTTATTTTTCAATTATCGCTCGTTAACTGCAAAATTTATGACATGTAAGCCCAGAATGTCGATGGGGAATTGGGAACGGGAATCGAAATTGTTTCTCTAGAAATCAGTTGAGGACATACCTCACTGTCACTGTTGTGAAAGGATATATGGGGTACATAAGCTCAGCTATATATAAGTCTTTATCCCTTGTAGATAACGATCATCTTAGTTTTCATATCGAGAGTCAGACAACAATTTTTAAAGGAAAGTCCGTTGATATTAATTTAAATAGGGAGGGATTTTACTTGGTGAAAGAAACACGTGTACTGATGAGGAATGACATACGTGTCCAATCTCAGCTTCATTGTCTTGAGAGGCCCACTGCATCCGCATCATTAATATGGTTATGCCCGTCGGACGCTCCCATATGGAACATTAAATAACGCATTCATTGATTCTAGAAATTATGTTACCCTCGACTTTTCAGAATTTAAATTTAAATTCATCACTAAATTAAGTCACTAGCATTTGTTAGAAGTACTATATCACATAGTTTTTCATAAGATACAAATAGCCGAATTACATACGTTAAAAAAGACATCCTATATGTTCTCATAATGTACGTCACGCTTCCGTCAGGGTCCATAAATGCATATCTCCCGAATTTCAAATCGTCTGTTTTATTGTGACCTTTTTGCATATTATATTTTTTCTTCATACTATTATACTTTACTTTAATTGTTAATATTCTATAATTAACGATTGAGTTTTCCATTTATAAGTATATTCTACGTCCCGCAAGTAGAAGATTGTGAGGAAAAAGTTGCCCAAAAGAAGAAGATTGTAACGGGAAAAAAAAGAGAGAGGGAATAAAAGAATAAGAACTTTTAAGAACTTTATAAATGTCTGGGGAAAATAGAAACGCGTCATGTTAATAAATTAAAGAAGTATAGTGGGGCGGGGAAAGGAAAGACGAATGCTACGTTTGAATTTTATGAGTTATGGGTCGAAAAAGTGTACATAAATGTAGGATCAGATTAATATATATATATATATATATATAGGGTAAAAAAAATTAAACTCCATAGCAATTAGTAGTTTTTGTTGTTTCTTTTTTCCTTTTTCATTAAGAAAACTCAAACTTGGAGTCTCTTTATATTTCAAAACACTTTTATGAATCTCGTAATATATACCACTATTTGGAAAATGCGAACAAGAATCATATTCATTTTCTCCTGTGTTTGCACTTAAAAAAAACAAAAAAAGCAAGCATTAATTCCCATGGCACAATGAGACGGTAATAATATTATAAATTAACGGGCCAATATGGAACGCAGAAACATAACAGGAAAGGCCAAGGTTTTAGGAAATAAATTATAATATTACAAGTCAACGGGCAGTATGGAAATGGAGAACCACATACGATTAAATTTTATTTTGAGAAAATGTTTCTCAGCTTAAAACTTTAATTGGACACAAAGTCTGGGTCCCCCAAAATATTATCAGCTGATCAAGTGACAATGAAATAAATTACTATCTCCCGTCCTAATTATAAAACTTTTATAAATTAGAAATGAGATATTATAATTAAAATAATAAATAATATAAAATAATTAATCCAGGTTTTTCCTTTGCATTAGTTATTCTTTTAAGTAGTTTCAAGAAATGGACCAGAATCTTTCACCAGTAATTGTCTTTTCTTTTTTGACCGAAAAGTAATTGTCTTTTCACAAACTGCTGCTTAGACTGTCGGTAATGTAATGGAGCTGGTTATATATTTTAAAAATATAACCTCCAATAACCCTAATTATACTGCGGAAACAAGCATGCATTAGCAAATGTTTTTACACATAACTAATCAAACCAATTTTTACAGTATCTATAAATTTGTTATCTATCTACTGCATTTAAAATCTTAGAAAATACGTTAATTTTACACCAAATGATGTTACGTTACCTCCGATCTTTAATATAAGAGTTATTTTGACTTTTAATTTGATTTTAAATATAAGATTCTAATCTATTTTATTTTTCATATTTTTATTTTTTAAAATAGTCTTATAGTACTTGCACATGTTTAAAATTTCATCAAATGGTAGTTCTAACTAATATATATGATTAGCAACAGTATTCTAGGAAAGACAACACTTATTTATTATAAATAACTAACTTAACTATTTGTTTAATCTTCTCAAATTAGTCAGCTAGATATTATACTACGGACCGGATGTAGGTAGTATTTCAAAAACAATGAGAATACATTATTTTAAATATTTTAATGGCCATTTAATTTAAAAAGAATTATCTTTCTCTGTTTATATTATGTAACGTTGAAAAATTACAGGAGTTAAGTTTGAGAGGTAAAAATTGAACGGCGCAAATGAGGAACAATTTGGGGTCCATGTATATTAGGGGAAGCGCAGAATTTTGAAACGTGGGGTCTGAGTTCCCAAAACAGATTCGTCCATCCAGGGGACAATCTGGCTGGCGAGTTAATGCAAAAGAAAGATAAATGTATGATAATGTCAAAGTTGGATATGGTCGCTCCATCCGGGGCCACTGCTTATTTATTTATAAGCTCAACAATATTCTTCATTTGCGTAAAGAAAGTGGCTTGCTTTCCTTAGCTGCCTCCCGTCCTTTTGAATGGGTATTGCATTGTCAACCAATGATGCCGCACCGCCAAATACTGTGCCTTTTTCATTTTTGCCATCACCTACTCCTTTGCTTTTACTCCCCGCTATTCTTATTGATCTTGTTTGTTGTCTATAAATGAGATTTTATAATTAAGATCAAAGATAGTACAATACACTTTCTAGAAATTTTTTCTATCATTTTTATAAGGCATTGTGGTGGTTTTAATAAGCATTAAATGTTTTTTTTATGTATGTTCATATTTAATAAGGATAGTGAGAGGATAAAAATTAATATGATATTAAAATTTAATATAGTTATTTTATTAAACATTATTTGAATTTTATGATAAATTTAATATTTTTGAATATTTTAATCGATATATGAAAATTAATTAGCAGTCTCTTATAATAAGAACTTGAGATTTAGATCTAATCATAATTATGAGATTTTAATTCACTTTATATTTCATATTTTTTATTTTTTAAAACTAATCTATCTAAGCTATGAACTGAAATATAGTTTAACGTTAATTAGGTTATATTTATTTATAATTAACTAATTTATTTCACATATTTAATATATTTAAATTAATTGAGTAGCTATTATATTAAATGCTGCCATCACCTTGCGCTCTTTTCCTCCCTCCTTTATTTGCTTATATAATAATCACAAACAGGGGGCTGCTTTACTTGCGATACCCCAAGGGGCGATGCTTCAAATGAGGCAATAACACCTAACTGAACGTGCGCCTCTCAAACCCATTGCAGGGGTTTTGATTTGACCTTCACAAAAATATCTGCTTTTATAAACTTCCACTGGACAATATTTTATCCTTACTTTATCCATACTTTTGCGATCAGTACATGTACGTGTATGTCTCAATTAATTAATTATTTGCAATTGATTGAATTATTTGCTTATGAATCATGATTATTTAATTTAAATGATTACTTGTACTATAACCAAAGTTCGGCATGTTCATTGAAACTCGTATGCATATTTAGCTGGTGAAGTAATATTATCCACTAACAATATCAGAAAATATTCACACAAATTTATATAGTAAAAGATTGATACAGCCATAAATTACTAGTTTTATTTTCTGGACACATTATGGTCAAATGTGATCAATTGAATCATCTCTTTATAAACTGGGATGGGAATTGAATGACAACTGAGTGTTGGACAAGTTGGTCCAAAACGAGATTCAATCTTTAATCGATCTTATATATCATGATCTAAATTTGCTAAATGTATATACAATTTAATTAACATTCTTGGTCTGAATATACGATGTTTTTTTACTCAAAAATGTGTTAATAAAAATCAGTATAAAATTTTTAAGGAAACAACAGTTTTTCCAACCAATACATGTAAACCATGTATCATCATATTTAAAAGAGAAAATCAAAGTTCTGAAACAAAACAGCCCAAATACTTTTCACCGAAACCATAGCTTTGAGGTCAGCTAGCGAAACGCTCGCTTTTTCCTACAGTTTATTTTTCCCAGAAAATTATGGGTTTTGGTATATATAAGCTAGGCAGGCAACTTTCAATAATCATTTTCTCAACGAAATCGTTTATATTAAAAAATTAATTTTTTCATAAAAATCCACATTTTAAATTACTTTTTTTAAAATCTGTTTTATTGGAAAGCCAGTCCAAACGCAATCGGGTGGCGATG